TTCTTTTATATCGCGATTCATACTTGGCCAGACAAAATGACGTCCGATTAATGTCTTAGTAGCTCGCCCGCTGGGATGTGACAAACCATGTGTTGCGTTAAAGATTTGTTTCCTTAAGCTGAGTGGCACGTAAGGTCGTACATCTTCTCCGGACACGTCGCAAAATAATGTGGTGTTAGAACCTGTGAGCTGTAATTTTTGTAGTTTGAGGCTTGTTTCTGAGTTTAGTATTTGCTGTAATTCTTTATCTGAGTTTTGTTCTTCCGCAAGTTCGTCAGTTGAGACGATTCTTGGGGGGGTGTCGATGGTACTTACTCGTGACAGTGTATCTGCGACGGTGTTGTCACTACCGGAGATGTATGTAATATCGGTTGTTAGTTGTCCGATAAAATCCAACTGGCGTAGCTGTCTGGGTGATGCTTTGCTTGCTTTCTGCTGAAAGGCATATGTCAAGGGTTTGTGGTCCGTTAATATTGTGACTTGTCTACCTTCAATCCAGTGACGAAAAAATTTTAGACTTTTGTAAATGGCTAATAGTTCGCGATCATAAGTACTATATCGTTTTTCTGTATCGCTGAGCTTACGCGAAAAGAATGCTAACGGTTCTAATTTACCTTTATTATTTTGCTCTAGAGAAGCTCCTAGTGCTGAATCTGATGCGTCTGTTCGTAGTATTAGGTGTGCGTTTTCGATGGGATGCGCAAGGAGAGTTGCGTCGGCTAGTTGTTTCTTGCAATGTTCAAATGCTGTGCTTGTTTCAGGTGTCCAATTGATTGGTCGTTTGTCGCGTTTTCTGGCACCAATAAGAAGATTGCTGAGTAGTAATTAATCTTGTGCTGCGTTTTTCATGAACCGTCGATAGTAATTTAGTAAGCCGAGGAATCTTCTTAATTCATCGATTCTCTTTGGCTTAGGAAAATCTTGAATGGCAGAGATTCTTTTAGGGAGTGGTCTAGTTCCTTGATTGTCGATAACGTAGCCTAAATATTCTACCTGCGAACTTCCAATGTTGCATTTACTAGCGTTGATAGAGAGACCGTGATCTCTAAGGCGTTGTAATACTGTACGAAGGTGTAGTCTATGCTGTTGAGAATCCTTAGATGCAATAAGAATATCGTCAATATAGCAGTAAACGAAGTCAAGGCCTCTTAATACTGAGTCCATCAGGCGTTGAAAAGATTGTGCAGCGTTGCACAAACCAAAGGTCATGACGTTGAATTCATATAAACCGAATAGAGTTATAACAGCTGTTTTGGGTTGGTCTTCTGGAGCTACGGGAATCTGATAATAGGCTCTTGTGAGATCCAAAGTTGTAAACACTGTACATCCACGTAATTGTTGAGCGAAATCATGAATGTGCGGAATCGGGTACCGATCCGGTACAGTGATTCGGTTTAGGCGTCTGTAATCTCCGCATGGGCGCCATTCGCCGGTCTTCTTTAAGATAAGATGTAAAGGACTGGCCCAAGGGCTATTGGATGGCTTACAGATACCTTCGGCTAGCATATAATCGAATTCCGCGCGTGCTGCTTTAAGTTTTTCTGTCGTAAGCCGTCGTGCGGGTTCTGCGATTGGTGGACCTTGTGTTTCAATGTGATGTTGCACTTGATGCTTTGCGTCCTTTCTACGAGTGGGACGGGTGATGTCGATAAATTCGTCGAGTAGATCTCTGTAATCGCCTTCTCGCATGATGGTGGTTATCGTTGGTGTTGATGTGGTAGTTAAACGGCCGGTAGATTTGAGCTGAGTTTCTCCGTCTATGACGCAGCGGCCTCGAAGGTCGACAAGGAGATTAAAATATTTTAAAAAGTCAGCTCCTAAAATTGCGTGAGTAACATTAGCGATAATGAAAGGCCATTGGAACTTACGTCTGAGTCCGAGATCGACATCAGTGATCTTTTGACCGTATGTCGTTATTGCTGCTCCGTTTGCGGCATAAAGGATTACTCCTGTATTTACGTGCTTTGATTTAAATGTCGAGCGAGGTAAAACAGAAACGTCGGCACCGGTGTCGATTAAGTAGCGTGTGCCGTTTCTTGAGTCAGTGATGATGAGGCGGTGTTGACGTGAGTAGATATGTTTTTGTGCCCCCGCGCACGCCTCGATACGTGAGGGCGAAATTAGTTTTCCGCTGTCTGTTTAGTGGCAAGTTTATTTTGCTTCCATGTGCATGGTGCTTGGCATTTACGTGCATCTTTGCCAAATTTTGCGTGAAAATAACAATTGCCTGATTCTTGCTTATGTTGACGATCTCTGCTGAATGATCGATGTCGTTGATTTCTGCCTTTATTTATTTGACGGCCTCGTCGGAATCCTTTAATTAACGCTTCAACATCTCGTCGTAGCTCTGAGATTTGTTGTTCGATCGATGTTGAGTTATGTGCTGTCATGGTGGTTGAATTGCTTATGGCTGCAATACTGGGTTTCATTACTTCCATGGCTTTATCAGCTTGCTGTGCTAACGTTGCAAGATCGTCTATTCCGCCTATTGCAAGGATCGCGCAAATGGACTCTGGAAGCTGTTCGAAGAAGAGGGTGCGCAAAACGGAGTCGCCACATGCTGAACCTGCTAGATTACGTAGCCTTTGTAAGAAGATTGAAGGCTTTTCGTCTCCCATTTCATTACCTCGAAGAAGTTTGCGTAATTTAGATTCTGAGGTTTCTCCAAAAGATTGTAAAATGCGTTCTTTTAAAGCTTGGTACTTACACGTAATGAGAGGTGCTTCCAAGATATCAGAGACAAATGGCAAAATCTCTTGATCGAGATATACGATGACGTACCTGAATTTGGTATCATCTCGAGTGATTTGCGCGAGTTGGAATGCAGCTTCTACTTGAGCAAATCATAAAGCTGGGTTTGCCTTCCAAAAGGGTGGAAGTTTTATGAATCTTGCGGCGTTGATTCCCTGGGGGGGTTCCCCTGACCCTTCGGAAATGTCCAGCTCTTCCGTTCCTGTTTCGATTGGTGCGGCGCGTGAACTCGGTGGGCTGTGTTGCGTCGACATTCTTTTCAGTTTTTATATGGAAAAAAAACGGACGTTCTTTCTTTGTGTAATTACGTGTGTATATTTCTTTGCGTCGGTAGGTCACCAGTTCTTATGTGGCGTGACGTGCGGCCAAAGAATGTGCTGATCGCGTGTCCCTTTTATGTCGCTTTTAGAGGCAGGGATTATTATACATTAGTATTCGCTTTTTCTCATTTATTACAACTCTACACTTAATACACACGAAAACAGGTTAGTAGTCGGATAATAACTGAACTGAACTAAAAAAACTAAAAAGTTAAAAAAACTCCATATATAAAATATTTCCTAGACGTCGTCTGCGCTGGGATTGGCTGGAGACGTTATTGGTCCCTACAACTACGACTACAGAACCTCCATCTATCGCAAAAACATTGATTTCTGTATGCCCATCGGACAAAAAGAATCTTCACCAAGCAAAGTCACAGCGAGGTTTCAGGAATACTTCGCTGAGCTTCCCATAGAAGTTACTGCCTTTTATACAGATGGTTCTAAAATCCGACAAGTCTTTAATGGTTGGATCAAGTGTTTATTCGCCTAGTCTTGGATTCACTCTGTGTGAAAAACTTCCCTCTGCTTCCTCGACTTTCACAGCTGAGGCCTGGGCTATCCTGCAAGCCGTCAACGCATGCTTTGACTTCAACATTGAA